AGCTGTTATGAATGAAACATGCGTTTAAAACTTAAATTATACAGATATAAGCAAGCAGGTAGAACAACCGTAGTCAAATGCGTCGTTGTTTATAATAAAACATTTGTCATAAAATGATAAAATTTGCATCATAAAAAGGKAGAAAACTTACAGACTTTTCAACGAGAAACAAACGCTGAAAAGTGACCACCGTTTTCTGTTTCATGTRTATTTACAATGTTAATTCAACTGATCATGATTTTGATGCAAATATGTTGTTTTTTTTGTTTTTAATCAGGTGTTTAGCGCTTTGCATGCTTGCTTTTATATGAATATAGCTCAAAACGTACGTACTGCTCATACAACACGAGCTGCGACTTGTAATCCAATTGAGAACTCGCTAAAAGCATTTTCACAAGGGAAAGCATTTCTTATTGAAAGCTTTATCATTGTTTGTAGTGTAAAAAGTTAGTTTTCCACGCAAAATACCATTTTTTTCTTACGACTTTTTCACAATTCACAAATCATGGTGTATTAATAAAATCATTTACTTTGAGAATTGATTTTACTACGCTGACAGAGTTAATTTGTTATTTTTTTCCTTCGCTATTTCTTTTTAATTTTAATATTTCTCCCTATAAATAATATATGTTTTCGTCTGAAAGCATTGTGTGGAATTAGCACATCAAAATGATAGAATCAATTATTCATTGAAAATTAATTATCTTTGAAGAAAACCTTTGTTGTGTCTTAGTTTTAGCGTTTTAAAAGGAGAAGTTATTTGTTTTTGGGAACGATTGTTTGGTGAATTCAAAACAAGAATATTTTTGTGAACGCTTTGAACCGTAATTTATTTTAAATATCTTTCTTGGGAATATGAGTGACATTATAAGCACTTGTATATTCATAGAATTTATTCGAATTTTGATCACAATTCACAAATTTGCCGAATACTTCTATGAAGAASTATTATTTTCATCAGTCTAGTATTGAAAATATTGTTTTTAAGTTTATTAAAAGTACACGCTTTGAGCTGTAATTTATTTTTAAATATCTTTCTCAAATGAGTGTAAGTCTTTGGAGTTTGATCATATTTCTCAAATTAGAGAAATATTAGAGCTTTCATTCTAGTATTGAAAATATTGCTTTTAAATTCATGAAAGTGCATTCAAATTGTTTTTATTTGAGGATTTTTTAAGACTTCCACCACACAGRTGTGTTTTGCTGTGTTCTTGTATTGTTTTAAATTCCCTTCAAAATAAAATCAACAGAAAAACGCCATGAAATCGCATCGTTGTGAATCGAGCCTAACAATGTACACCTAATATTTTCTATCTCTGTAGACTGTCCAAGAATCATTGCGGGCGCGGCAGCAAACACGTGACAACATCAATGAAACCATGACTATTCTAAGACGAGACAGTAAGCTCGACTCATCATCTGTACCAAAGACTGTGGAAAACAAAGTCAAGACGCTCAATGAAGACTGGGCGCGAATTGCGTCACAAGCGTCCGATCTTTTTGCGTCACGGATCGCACGGGAAGAAATCGTCGTYGAATCAGTGCAGACTCAAGAATCATCGGGTATCGATGGCTGGGATAGTAAGTTGATWTTTTACAATAAATTCAAAAATCCTACCATCATATTTTTCCATCGGTTTTCTTGCATTAGAATTTGATATTGACAACTTTCATAATGGATACTAATTAGCATATTATRGTTAAATTCATATTGTTGACAAAAGAAAATACTCAGATGATAGATATTAAAGATAAATACAAGCTCAGAAAGTTTCATAGAAAAGTATYAAATCCTCTTGAAGTTATAAAGGTTAGAAGGTGCACAAAAACACCACAACAAACCTACCAACCTACCAACCTACCTCAGTAAAGAATTCCATACAAATCCTTGAATTTTTATTCCTCCATAACTTCGTTAGTATTTAGTCCATAGCTTCAAAACGTTCCACAAATACCAATTTCTGATAGTTCTTCAGTATGACAGTGCTTAATATTTCCTATCCATTATCAATTGTATAAAATCAATGGCAGGCAATTATGAAAGTGGTCTGTGGTATGAAAAGTAAGATAACATTGATATTATCGCCGCTTTTCAGCTCGAGCCTCGCCCTGGCCTAAGTTCGATAAAGCCGTCTCAGAGTTACAYGTCTGGCTTGATGATGTTACTGACATGATGAAAGCAGAGAAGGTTGTGTTGTCGGACAGCGAGGAAATCTTTGCCTTGGCTGAAAAGCAAAAGGTATACATTGGTGTGAGATATTTATACCTTTGAATCCCTTACTAAATTATATTCTTACATTGCTGCTGACATATTCATCGCCATGGTTACACCATTTAGCTGGGGGAATGGGAATGAAGGGGGGTGGGGGGAATTAATCGAGTAGGTTGAGATGGGGTGCCTTTAGAGGGATCGAATACCCCTAAAAGCTTTGTATTTGTATAGTGTATGTATATCTGCATTTATGGGAGGGATACTTCTCCACCTCTTAAAAAAATATTTTTATTGTTTTTATTATGCATGGGACATCGAATTGAAGTATGAAAATTACCGACGACTGACTGTCATACGTTTTGAATTATAATGAAAAATAATAATATACTTGCACTGTTTGATCGCTGATCGCTTGCACAGAACACTATTGATATATAAGTTCTTTCTTTCCTTTTTTTTCTCTTTCTCTTTCTTGTTCTTCCTCTCATTCAAGTCTGTGGACACATCTAAATCAATCCAAGCACTTCTTACGTATTTACTTACGTTTTCTACGAAAATACTCGACGTAAGTACACTTAACGCACTTATCACGTAACTGCGTACATTCTCTACAAAAATATTTAACGTAAGCACTTCTTACGCACTTGTTACATACGTAAAAGTATTTTGTACGTATTTATATCTTCTGTACGAAAACACGCAACGTTAGCATAGTAGGTTAGAACGTAAGTACATCGGTACTTCATGTAGGACCTTATGAATTGGCACTATTACTAATATCTCTGTATTAGGTTTAAGGTTGGRGTTAGGGTTAGGCTTCTAATGGGTTCTTACATGAAGTACTAACCAGTAACTAAGTGTTTTTGTAGCTACTGCAGTCATAAGCTACGTTATGGCGTGTAAGTAAGATTGTTAGTAAGTACGCTTTTTCCGCAGTCTGTTGCTGAGCAACTGAAAAGCAAGCAACACTTACTGGAAGAAATCGCAGAGATGGGACATAGCTTATCTGAAGAAGCTGACAACAGCGAAGACAAAATGATYATAGARAAGAAGGTYGCTAAACTGAAGGAGCACTGGGAAGCWGTGCAAGATAAYTCGACGGTCTGGCGGGGACAGATTGATTTCTTGTTGGAGGAATGGAARCGTTACGTRGAGCTGAGAGAGGAGCTTGTGGAGTGGCTACGTAAGGCTGAAGCTTACTTAAAGAAGGARGACAATCCTTATAATTACACTGTSAGCGATTTGGACGAACAGATCAACAAACATAAGGTCAGAACTTCACACAAGAGTCAGTATAGAGTGATCGYACTTAAACCGTGCAACTGTACAAAATCTAAGTAGTACTAATTTGTACTAAAAGTGGACCTGAAGCAAGACGGTATTGAATGCTGCATTTGTATCAATTTAATTTAATGTGCGTACCGCATGCACGATTTACCAAATACAACTAAATAGCACTATAGCACTATTTAGCTGGTACAATTTGCAAATGTGCGATCACTCTACCGCATGTACGATGTACTAATTAAAAATACAACTAAATAGTTTGTACTGTTGAACGGTTTAAGTGCGATCACTCCTTATTTTGAATCGAGTAAACTGTACCAAATATGGTATCAAAATATTCTTTGAATGTTCAAAACTATTATACAGCAGCGATTAGATGTTCCATCCCCCTGGAGTTTCAGGGTGCTTCTGGAATGAAAAGCCGTAACAAKCGATAGCCAATGATTTAAAATCTTGCCGTGTTTCAGGGATTCGAGGAAGATCTGGAGACATGGCGGGGTAGCATCTCTGCAGTGAATCAATGTGGAGAGAATCTTATCAAAGAATTCCCTACATACGAGGCATCAGCTCTAAGACACAATATGACCGAACTACAAGAAAGATGGGACAACGTTAAGAACAAGTAAGATGACGTTTGGATTTGAAAGTTAAAATTCTTGGTTCTCTTGGTTCTAGGGCGTTTTTGTCGTCGACTTTTTTGTATTCTCCGTCCTNACTATGATCGATGCATCTCATGGCGAAGAGAGGGACAAGGTTGAAGAATTGAAAGTCGAACTGAAGGTTAGGATAAGTGATTGTTTATCCCTACGTCGAGGGGTTCTCTCTGCGCGTTTGCGCTTGTGTTTGCGAAAAAGCTTACGATTGCGATTGTGCCTGCGATTGCGATTACGATTGTGTCTGCGATTGCGATTGCGATTGTGTCTGCGATTGCGATTACGATTGTGTCTGCGATTGCGATTACGATTGTGTCTGCGATTGCGATTATGATTGTGTTTGCAATTGCGATTGTGTTCGCTCTTGCACTTGTAATTGTGCTCTCGCTTGCGCTTGCATGTGCTCTTGCGTCGTTAGTAAATCCAAAGCATGCTATATTTTGAGTACATTGTTGATTTTGCATAGAACCTCGAAGAAGACATCAACTCCCACCAAGAAATGTTCGCTTCCCTCAACGAGAACGGTCAGCACATGGTGACCGAGATGGAGCCTGGTGACGTGTTAACYGCTGTCCAATCAAAGCTCGACGATATAAATGACAGGTGGCAATCATTGAATAGTCGAACAATGGATATGCATGATAGGTTGGAGGAAACGTCAACAGARTGGCGCCAACTCTTGTTGGATYTRCAAGAGATCATTGAATGGATCAACCGTGCTGATCAAGATATCACTTCTCAACAGCCTGTAGGGGGAGATTTGGAGACGGTGCAGACTCAAAATGAGACTCATCAGGTAGGGAGAATTCATTTGTTCACAAATACTAGGATTAGACTTGGCTAAATCCCGAAATAAAAAGATAAGTAACCGCAAACAAACAAAAGAAAAAAAACGTAATCTTCTTTCGCTCGTTGCTGTCAGTGAAGAACGAGAGACAACAGATGAGCCTTAGACTGCCGATGATGCTCATTTTAATTGAACAGACCGCGATTATAATCAATTAAATGCATTTTTCCAAGGCCTTCAAAGGAAAACTTAACGTGCGACGATTGGTGGTCGATAGAGTCCTGGACTCCGGTCGACATATGATGGATGAGTACCATGGAGAGCGTGCCGCTGGCGATGCCGAGGGCTCATCGCGGTCTCGTATTGCAGGAAATATCCACAAACAGCTTAAGAATGTGGACGATCAGTGGTCGAAATTGTGTCAGCGGTCTGATGATTGGCAGAAGAATATCGATGAAAGTCTAAGGGTGGGTACAGACGACATTTATAACATGACCAAATTTCATCTACTTACATATTTAGATGTTTTTGTTTGGGTTTCCTGTGTCCTCCAGCAAAACAATTTTTTTTCAAAATTTGCTAGCATATTAATCTAATATAATTATACATGATTTGATATTATTATTATGATGATAATTCTCGAGTTAAAAGTCGATTTAAAAACTGTAGAGTAATGCTACAAAAAGCATCCGTGTAGATTAAAGATTTAAGTTTTTCGTTATACTTACTAATAAGGATTTGGAAATTGATTCTTGTATGTGGGTAGAAATGATTTATAACAGATTTCTTCTTGGAACTGGCCGGCCAATTCCGACAAATGGGAAATGCCTTAGTCTTAATTTTTTTCGCTTGACATTATCAGGATTTGCGGAGTTACAACAGACACTCACTATTACGGACGCTTAATTACGGTCTAAAGGGTGTCCGTTATAAAGATATTGAGATAACTCCCTTTACGGACACTTGCTATTGCGGACACTWATTGATTCCAAACTTCAGTGAACTTGCAAAATTGGATTTACCCTCCCCTCCATAAGTCTTTTCACTATGAGTCATCTGTAGACTGTTGCAGTRTAGAAAAGATCGAATTTCAAATCTACTTCATTCGTGACTTGTCTCGTATTCCAAATTATTGTCTTCACTCTTGTTTGCGGCTCACATCATTRAGATACTCATGTCTAACACGAAGGCACTTGACGAAGAAGCCATGGTAAGGTCTTTGTAGTGTTAGTTTATTTTGTTAGGGTCTTTCTCTATTATTATTGYTGTAAGTCTACACTATAAACTTGTGTTATCTTACCCTACGAGCACTCTAAAATTGTAAAGAACCCTTTATTGATATAATCAACGCTCTAGTACCGCTAATTCAAACGTATTTTGAGGTACTTCTGCAAGATAATATGTTATTTTTATTGTTAGCATGGTCAAAAGCAGCGATATTTAAAGTAAATAGACGAGTCTAGCGTAATTTWRWKCATTTTGAGCACCCAAATRCCATGAAACCGGTMTTAAATGAAAACATTTCACCAAATGTTAGAGGTTAAACGTCAATGGAACAGATTTTTATCATTTTGTACACCTTTCCCGGTAATTATTCCCCMAAAATATCTCATCTTCGAAGTTAATTGAARAAAAATAATGACATTCGACYTTAAATTASCCTCGAGACTTGATTTTGAACTAACTCGGCAGGAGATCCCCGCTGCCATGATGTCTTGTTGGTCTCTAGTTTCTAAAAGAAATTACCTGGACTTTTTCCCGCGCTTTTGGCGTGCGTTTGCGTAATTTTTACCGCCAAAAATTCAAATGAACCATGTTGTTCTTTTTTATAAAATTWACGTTTTTTAGCTCTAGCTCAAAGTTGGTTAAATATACTTAAATAGCTTTTTTTAATGAGTTAAGAAAAGTCATTAATCTTCTAACTTAAAGTGTCATACTCAAATTTTGGGAGCAGTTTGCCCTCCGCACCCAAAATACYTGATTGTTTGTAAACTCCAATATATCAAGCAGAAAAAAACTATTAATAAAACTATTAGTAAATTATTTGAAATTTTCTATTGGTATTTAATACGATAAGGCGAGATGTAAATCTTCTTTACAGCCTAATAGAGTTATCACAGATTTGGTAGCAGACTTAGCACGGTCCATACACGCGCTTTAGGTCATGAACTCTCGAATTGCAACTCTTAAAAATTACAACTGTGGTATCAAATTAGAGTTCGAGTAGTGAAATTGGAGTAGTTAAAACTTGTATATCGACAATTCACATTCGGAAGCGCTGTTGTGTTTTCTTGACCGCTGTTGTGTTTGTACCTTGTTCGGTAAACTGCGACAAGATGCCTCGAGTCAAAGGCCATTCAAAGAATGTGTTCTCACGAAGCTTAGCYTTGTRTTGTCTACAGCTTTAAGCGGCGAACACGGAGTTATAAACCCCAGAGATTGCAGTTTCCTGAATAGACAAGCTTTTGAGGTTTGTGGTGGGGTATTTGGGAGTGTAACTCGGAAGTAGTTTCTTGCAGACTATTTTTAGTATCTCAGACGACGATTTGATATTTAGTTTGATCAATAGTTATTGTATTAAGACCATTATATATATGTTTTGCTTGATATGATTTTGTTTATATTCTTTAATATTGTTACCGAGTTTTAGTTAGATTTCCTATAGTAGACATGAAAATGCTCCCAGTACAAGCTCTCGTTGTTCCTTMGTACCRTCMGATTTGCATTTACTTCGGCACRTGTGAWAYACAACGTTTGAAGTGCTTWRATCCAAYACATATGTCATAGAATTTTTGACATCCCTATATTTTCTATCCCCCCTTCGAAGTCATTTATYAGAGATGTCAGCAATCTTAGTGTCTTGTCCTTGCTTTTGCCATCTTGGCTCATGACGACGAACGGTTGGCATGACAAATATCAAGATTATGATTACAATTAAGTCAGCTTACACACTTCGCGTCTAAATACAGGAAATAATCTACAAATCAGACGTTCCTATCCAGCGCACTATAGTGAAAGGTAGCCCGACCATATGTCCGTTTTTCGGAGGTTTTCGTAATATAGAGGTGCATATCCGTTTTAAAGCGGGTATTTTTTTTCATTCTGTGAAGGTATAGAGGCGCCCGTTTTACCGAGGTGTCCGAATTAGTGAGGTATCCGTTTAACTGAGATATCTAAATAAGAAAGGTCTCCGTTTGATATAAAGGTGACCGATTTAATGAAGTTTATTTTTGAGATGTCCGTACTACAGGGGTGTCTTTTTACTAATTATCCGCACGATAAACTCGTCCCATTTATAGATTAATCCTCTATAAAGATTTGTCCATATTATAGTATTATCAGTTTTCTTAGACAAGCTTCAGAACTGAAAAGGTGCAGGGCTTCAGCCAAGTAGTTTATAAATCTCTACAAAACTRCCTTGGATTATCTACGATTAACATACTAATCCATTGAGTCACGATTAGCAGATTTTCAGGATATTTTTCTGCATTAGACTGTTTCTGACTTGACTGTGAAATAGTTATTGAGCAAGGCCAGGGTCAAATGCTGAACTTAATWTTTAGAAYTTCATTCTGGTCAAATTTCTTTTGATAATAAAGCTTTTGGGGGATTTTAAAAACAAAATGTTWAGTAACAAACGACTTCAAGGCTATTAGTATATAAAAATTATTTTTTAAAAGGACAAAGTACCAGCTAAATGTTTAAGAGAGTATATTTAGTACCAGACTCGTACCCAGTCGTTACTCTTCTTTTTCTCTGGCGCGATCAAAGGATCAAGGGAAGTCGGTAGTTCGGACTTCCCTTGATGCACCGCGAACCGTAAAACGTGCAAGAGAAACGACTGGGTACGAGTCTGATTTAGTGAAAGAGAAGTAGCCTGCTAACAGGCGTTCCTGCTGGGGGGCCGAGACCTCTCCTCCCCATTCTCTCTCGGCCACCCAGCAGGAACGCCTGTTAGCAGGCTACAAGAGAACCAATTTCACTAATAAACTGATCATAGAACACATGTAWCTAATAAAACCCGCAATTTTTCTCTCTTCGTATTACAGAGGTTCCAAGTCCTGCATAGCCAGATGGAAGAGGTTGACACCCAGCTCACCGAGGCCGAACAGGCTAGAGTGCACTGGGCACCAGTCCAAGACCTTGTCATCGAATCTCTGCATGAGCAGATGGACGAGTTGAAGGTGAGACTTGCGTTACGTTGCGTTACATTAMAATATTGTCACGCAATCWTGTCAATTTGCCTAGRCATGTGGTCTGTCCGTCCATCGCGAATTAAGAGGAAAGAAAMGATATRTKTMACGCTTATATGTCACGTTTTCRTTTCAGATGTTACAAGAACGAATTGCTAACCTRCAGCAAATGTTTGAAAACATGAGTAACACAGAGGGCGAACTGAGACGGCGCGGTGTAAACCTGTCTGCAAACCTGCAAAACAGGATTGACCAGTTGTATCGTCGATGGAAACAGCTCCAGATTCAAATGATTCAAAGACAGAACGCCTTACAGGATGCCTACCCAGAAGGCGATTCGCARTCACTCCAAGCTTTGCAAGGTAGTTCATCTGAAACGGGTTTTATAATGATTCACATAATTCAGCATAATTTAGTACTTTGTTCATGGTTTTAGTGTTTGCACTCTACTTATTGATATTTTATTTAACGTTGCAGCAAGTGTCGATCCACCGTGGGAACGAGCAGTTGCCATTAATAAAGTTCCTTATTACATAAAGTAAGACTCTAACACCAGACTCGTACCCAGTTCTTTTCTCGCTGATTTAGRAGCGCGCGATGCATCAAGGGAAGGAGGTTTTCTTTCTTTTTCCCATCAACTCCGTCACTCGTACCGAAAAAGGAGTAAGGAATGGGTACTAGTTTACTAGCTTTCACTGTCATTATAAAAATTTCTTAAATCACTGACATTGACTTTGTTGTCACTCCATTATTGTATTGAAAAATGTTTKATCGGTTTCTTTTACAGTCATAAAACAGAGACGACTCAATGGGACCACCCCAAAATGACCGAGTTGTACCATCAAATAGGTAACTCCAACATCCTCTTACGTCCCCCAGGTTAACAAAACATACATACAATAAACAATTTTTCACTTCCAGCTGAGCTAAATGATATCAAGTACAGCGCTTACAGAACCGCAATGAAACTACGTTGTATTCAGAAAGCAACAAGCTGTGAGTAGTGATTGGTTTTGTCAATGTTTGCTTAATATTCTATGTGGTCCAGATATTTTCAAAGGGGCATGTTCAACTGGCATCCTTTACGAGCTTTTTTTCGTGTTTGAAAATATAAGTACATCGTAATATTATCCCTTTATGCTCATGAATGGAGATACTGTAAGATTGAACCTTAAAACCGTTTGATAGAAATGGATTGTGAATCATAATTTGATGTCAGCTCATTTTGCTTATATGAAAACGTTTAAACACGACCGCATTGAATGCTGGTTGACCATGGTCCTTTCAATTCTCACTTTTTTTTAGTTGTGCAAGGGAATTAAGATTGGACGAATCTGAGCTGTAAAATATTAAATATTTTTTCTTCTTTTCAGTGGATCTAGTGACACTAGAAAACCTCGACAGCGCCTTTGAATCACACGGTTTACACCACCAGAGCAATAATAACTTGATTGGTATAGGTGATATGGTAGAAACTCTGACTACAGTATACGATAGAATTGAAGTAGGACAAGAGAACATTAGTTCAGCTATATGCATTGATCTGACGTTAAATTGGTTATTGAATGTCTACGATAGGTGAGATATCCTGTTTTTGAGAATCGGTTTATACGCTTTGCTATCGTCGCGCTGAGCCAAATAGTCAATTTGCATCGAACACAARTACATCGTGATACGGCGTTGATTCTACATCGATCTAGGGAGTGGAAAGCATAAGAATATGAAGGAAGGATAACATACAATACTCCATTTTCGAATTTAAAGCGAATAACCGCTATTTTTTACAGAATATTCTCTTACGAAAAGAACTTAGCAGACGCAATACTCCAGTTTCGAATTCATAGCGAAAAACCGCTGCTTTATTTGACAACAGGCCCCCCTGTTTAAAAGGATATTTCTTGTTCTGTTTTTTCAGTGGAAGAATCGGTAAAATCAGGCTGTTATCATTCAAAGTTGGACTCGTCACAATGTGTAGAGCACACCTTGAGGCAAAATACAAATGTATGTTAATGTTGATTATTGCATACATTTGCATCTAATTAAATACTATACAGACAGACAGACACTTTTTTGGCTCTTTTAACCTTAATGGAAAATTTATAGTTCCATATAACTTCGTCATAACAACCCCCACCCCAACCTCCACGCAAAACACTTCCATCCCCTACCGCACCCCCCACCCTCCTGGCATTTAAGAGGGTGGCCATCCATTGGTAATAAAATTGTTTTATTTAAGATCTCTTCCGTCTTGTTGCGGACAATGATGGCTTCATGGACCACAAGCAACTTGGGCTTTTACTCCACGATTCTTTACAGGTAGGTCATTTATATTCTTGATGTTGTCGCTGTAGAACTTAATGCTATATTTCAGGACAAATATATGAGAAAAAAAGGTAAAAGACGTCCCGCACGCTCAGTTCAAAGATTGTAAAAAAAAATAATGTGTCACAACGTCAGTTYTTTCATGAAATGTTCTTTGGTGATTCAACGTTTTAAATGTCCAAATAACGTTTGATTCCTGGAGATCCCATTACAAAGGAGGTTGTTTCATTTATTTCTTAGATCCCTCGTCAACTAGGTGAAATCGCTGCGTTTGGAGGCAGTAACATTGAGCCCAGTGTACGTAGTTGTTTTGATAAGTGYGGTGCTAAGGATAGGATCGATTCAGCTCAGTTTCTACGCTGGTTGAGTGCTGAACCTCAGTCCATCGTATGGCTACCAACTCTACACAGACTAGCAGCATCAGAATCAGGTAAGGGTTATCTCTTCTTATTGCATGACTCTCTCTTCCTTGCATTCGATGATTCTCTTTTCATCAATGTCCTTTCCCATGAAGAAGACGATGATTTTTCTCTTCTTTCTTTCTTTCGTTTTTCCTTTCTTTTCTCCTTTTTGTGTTCATTTTTCTTCCATTTCCCTTTCCTCATGGTYATCTCCAYTGATGACGTCATRTTTGTTTTGCCGAAATGCATCACGGTATTGATAAAAGTAGAGACGCCAAACATACTAAAACTTTGTTCTCTTTTCAGTTAAGCACAAAGCCAAGTGCAACATTTGTAAAGAGTATCCAATCGTAGGGTTTAGATTCCGTTGTCTCAAGTGTTTTAATTACGATTTATGCCAGGTGAGTTGGCTGTGAAACGTGAAACGTGAAACATTTAAATGACTTTATTGAATTATATATTGTCTCTTTYAGAGTTGTTTCTGGTCTGGAAGGGTGTCACATGATCATCGCCTTACTCACCCCATGCATCAGTATTGCTTATCGGTGAGTTGCAAAGCCTCCTTGGTTGCTTTCTCCTTGTCTTGGAGGAGTCCTTCTCTCTAACTCCCCTCTCTCTTACTTTGTCACCTTCCCTTCTTTCCTTTGTTACTCCTCGTCTTCTCGGTATTCTTTAGTTTTTTTCCTGTGATTAATTTATTCCCTCTTTCATTCTTTTCGATTTTCATTCTCTCCCTTCCTTTCCTTTCGCCCTTTTCCTTTCTGTTTCACATTGCATGATTCTCTTTTCCTCTGTTTCCTCTTTTCATGAAGAAGATGATTTTTTTTCTCCCCCTTTCTTTTGTTTACTATTTCTTTCCTATTTTCTTTTTTCGTTTAATTTTTTTTTTCCATTTCCCTTTTTTCTCTATCTTTTCATACCATCGTTTTCCGTYTTGTAGACCACTTCCGGTGAGGACGTCAAAGACTTCCTGTCCATCGTTCGTAACAAGTTCAAGAAACGGCAGTACAAGAAAAACCCACCYAAAAAACTCGGCTACCTACCGATACAGACGGTTATGGAAGGAGGCAACCTCGAGACGTAAGTAAATTACGTAATCTTCGTTTTCACCCATTTTGGATGATCTTCAAGAAAGGATTTCTCATTAGTATCTATTGTTCATTCCTCCAACATGGCCGCCGGTCTTTTATCTTTTAAATCTCATGGGAATGGTTGAAAACGATCAATTTTTCCTTTCCTTATTTTACGTTTCTAAATTACAAAAAAATATATATTAATAATAACAGTTCCTTTGGACAGGTTTAAGGACCGAGTATGCGCGCGGTATTCCAGCCTCTTTTTTTTATTGTTGAAAGAATGTTTTCTCGTCACCAGGCCTCCCAACCCTGCAATGCAACAGAATGTCAGTAGTGARGTTCACAATCGACTTGGCATGTATGCCAACAGGTACTGATCAATTTGCTTAGTTTGGAACACGTGGTTAGTTGGCAAAGCACTGCAATCTTTTGTTCCCGATTCTTGGTGTGCAAGTTGCGTCATCGCCGCCATGTTGGATGAAAATCACAAAGCATTCCTCATTAGTTTCTCTTGTTMATTCATCCAWCAWGRCGGCGATARCTTTGTTCTTTATTTCTCAGGGGATTCCTGGTCATGTGGTTGCACACCAAGAATTGGCAACTGAAACAATAGCGATCTATATGCAAACGGTCATAATTAACCGGCAGCCTTACGAGCTTTTGTTTAAGTTATGAAAATAGAAATACATCGTAATATAAACAAAAACGTCCTCTTTATTGTGAAGTCAAACAACCCGTAAAATAGATACTAATACACATTAGTGTGCTTTAATTCCATTGTTTTCTGTTGTGTCTATTTGATTATTACACTTTAATAGTCAAATTTTGTTTCACGGGTTTAATCATCTCGCTCTATTATAAATAAGTCTTCATATATTTGTATTTAATGTTGAAATCTTTTTTTAGACTTGCTGAAGCAGAAACTAATGGCGGCAAATACAGTCCCAAGCACTTGTAAGTCTTTGAACTTAGTAGGCTTTTTAACTATTAATCCGCGCTATCTTGGTGGAATCCTGTCGAGTCCAAGTGCTCGTTCTTATGTAGAGTTATGCGAACAAACAACTCTCTTTCATGATTTTGAACTCAATTTCGTACTCGTTAAATGTTCACTCGTTAAATGTTCACTCGTTAAATGTTCACTCGCTAAGTGTTCACTCTTTTTCAATTAGTTTTCATTGTTTTCTTTACAGAGATGAAGAGCACCAGCTAATTGCTCAATATTGTCAAAGTCTTAAAGGCGAAAATACAGAGAGGGCGGTAAGAATATATTAATATTATTCAAAGAAATAGAGTAGAGTCACTTGAACCATGAAATAGAAACTAAATACCTTGTAACTAATAGGCACTATTTAGACACTATCACTGAACCAGAACAGTACAAAGAGATTACTTTGATTGTTAAAGTGGTCTCTTGGGTATTGCTTATTGGATAAAATAAACTGTCCTGGTTCAGTGCTAACGACTATTAGGAACTAATAGTGCCTATTAGTTAGTACTTTTAGTTTTTATTTCATGGTTCATGTGACTCTGCTCTACCACGAAACAAACGGAAACTGGGATAGTTACTTACTTTGCTATTCACGAGAGTCCCCCGAGTAGTAAATCGAGTTATTATGTTTTGCGAGTGATTTAGTTCTCGAGTTAGTTGTTATATCTTCAGTTATTTATTTTTTCAATGTGATTTTTAGCCTCAAAGTCCAACACAAATCGTTCTGTCACTCGATGCGGACGAGAAAGAAGATTTAGAAAGTGAGATTAACAAACTGGAAGATGAAAATAGGTATGAAACTATCACCATTATCATTATCATCATCATCATCAGAATTATCATCGTCATTATCATAATTATCATCGTCATCATGATCATTATCATCATTATTATCATTGTCATCGTCACTATCATCATTATCATTATCATCATCATTTTCATTATCATTCAATTACCATAAGCAAAACATTGAATCGCAGCGCCAATGCACACTGATCATGAAAGAGAATATGTGTGCTCGCTGTACCTTGGCACCTCGGCTCAATACTTTGCTCAAGGTCACTGAACCGTTTTTTAGAAAATCGTTAGGTAAGAGGGTTAAAACGAGTACTTCATTAGCCCTCCTTAATGTGTACACATTTGTTTCTCTTTTTCAGAGCATTACAAGACGAGTACGAACGGCTCAAACAAATACGCGACCAGGATCAACCATCAGAAGGTGAGTCGTCCCCAGGCTCAACATCACGCGATGCTGAGCTGTTAACCGAAGCAAAACTACTGCGCCAACATAAAGGAAGATTAGAAGCTCGAATGCAAGTCCTAGAAGACCACAACAAACAGTTAGAAGCTCAATTACAACGATTACGACAGCTATTAGACCAACCTAACCAAGGCAATCCACCCGCATACTCACGAGGAACCACCCCAGCATCATCAGCTAGTTCCCTTGGTGACCAGCCTTCTTCAGGTCGTCAAGTCCCTTCTCGTCAACCTCGACCGCGAGGCCTGGAGAGTGACACGGAGTCGGAACAGGGTATGTTAGATGCGACAACAAAGCGTGATTGACGTCACTGTTGTTGATGTCTGTAGGTATGTTGATCGTGTGTTCGTAACTTGACACGTGGGCCTTGTACCGAGAAATGACTGATTGGTCGATTGTAACGTCCTAATATGGTAATRGTCGCTGCGGTAATTACTACGGTTATGTGAAGTTGTGTTCTAGTGTTTTGTTTCGTTTTGTTTTGTTTTGTTTTTTTTGTGTTGTTTTATTTTGTTTCTATTTGTTTTGTTTTCGATTTGTTGCATGAAGAAAAAATAGCATTGCTTTTATCTAACTTTCATTTCTATCTGCAAACTTTGTTTAATATAATTTTGATCTGTAACTACTCAATTATTCTCTCTAATGTTCAGTCCCTGTTCCTTCTTGAGGAAGGGCTTGTCTTTACATTAACCAGAGACGGCAGTTGAGGCTTACAATTATTAATATGCCGTTTTAGTGTTATTTGCGCGCTTCTGATAAATTGCTCACTTGGTTCTATTATTACATCATCTCGCCGGTCTTTTCGCTGTTTTGTAAAGACGGGTCGAATCGCTACCATTCAAAATTGCTATCATTCAATGACACCCTAATATAAGTCACCACTGCACTTAATAATCGTTAACTTTGATCGATTGTAATCGCCTGCAAGTTCACCACTGACCACTTTGTTTGCAGTACATTACCGTCCTTATAATCACTAATCAGTCACCCATCGTACAAGTCACAAGTGTCGATTATTACTAATAGATATTAATCCTTAATAATTCATTAATAATAACTAACATCAAATAAGCATGTTGATAATTCCGTCATGATATATGTTAACCACCGTATATGTAAAATAGTAATGACGTCATGTTTGTTTCGGCGAAGAGCATCATGGTATTGATAAAAGTGTCAAGATGGCGGATTACAAAACYTTTGAAGGACCAAGTTTTTTGCGAAGTAACGTTACCCGTCTGCAGGCCGGAGTATGCTTAAAGAGCATATTCAAAGTATGCAGTCTAAGAAAGAAACATAGTCAAAGATTTGCCTCAGAAAAGTTGTCCTTTGTTTAGCAGCCATGTATGGTACTCTTACCTTATTTGGAAGTACGTTTGGACTGATTTTTTGTGATTTGCTAGATTTTTAAACTTGAAATCGTTTGAAACTCGCAGATATTATAGAAACACTTCTAAACTATCGGCCAATTTGTTTTTTGCCCATATATGGCATAGATTCGCTAGGAAGACCAAAACTAAAAGGTACAGGGATCCCGAACAAATGACATGCAATTCTTTCATATGTGATATTTGATAACATAACAATACACCTTTTCAGTTGGTCTTAGGCCTCGACAGCCTGTTAAATATTCTTTTGAATTTGTAGGAATGTGAGCAATGCAAACATTGATATGAATAGTCTCATTTGTCAAATTCAAAAGAATATAATTAACTTGCTATCGAGGCCTAAGTGCAACTGAAAAGGTGTATTTGTAGTTTCGTCGGTCCCATGATGCATTTCGCTGACTTCATTACTTGGATTAACCACTGCACATGCGCTCAACATTACTCYACAGGGTTACCAACAATATATTTTTCTGTCCACAGCCAAAGACTCTGTTAGTGATCTATTTAGTACTGCGCAAGACGTCAATAAAGCCGTAGAAAATCTTGTTCAAGTCATGACTGATGACGACGACGAAGCTACTTAATAWAGGCTATTAGCCAATCAAATATGAACATGCAGTCACGTGGTGTAAAGATCGTGTCGGCACAGGGAGCCCAAAGATAAGAAGTAAAATTTACCGAAATGTTAAATAATAGGGGTTCCAATATGGCGGTGAACATAATTATATAAAAACATCCGTCGAGAAAGTTAAGTACGAATACGATAAGAACAATTGAATTGATGTGGTTACTCTATTGCGCATGTCAGATTTCTTTAACCGCTGAACATGCTTGGAAATTCAAGTCGTTTCCTTGTATTTCTCAAAGAAATTGGATAAGAAAATAGAGTCGTTATTGTACGAGTGGGAAACGGATTATCGATATCGAAACCATATTGAAAGCGAATCGTATCCTGTCGAAACCTCTCAAAAGCGTGTTGTTTGTTTTAAAAATTTCAGTCGTAATGTAATATCTTCGTATCATAGTCGTAAGGTAGTCGTAACGTAATCGTGACAACTTCGTATCATAGTCGTAACGTAGTCGTATGATTATTGATATCGTAGTTGGTTTCGGATAGTAGTCGCGTTATCATTCGTTTCCCACTTGCGCAAATCGGCTCTGATTAGGCTAAAAACGTTAAATCAACTTATACAATCATAAGAAATAAGGATAAGATTTTTTTTCATCAGTAAGAATTCTATTTTTGTCAGATGACTTTGTGCATATTATCAATATTCCACAAGGGTGCCTTGAGCGGGTTCGGTTTRTAAACGATTACACTGTTTCGTTCTTATGTAAACGCGACGGAAACGTAACGGTCATTTGCGCAAACGTTTCTATCAAAAATGATTACGTAAGCTAAGACATTTCACGTGTTTCGTTCTTATGTAAACGCGACAGAAACGTAACAGAAACGCAACAGGAACCTAACGATCGTTTGCGTAAACGTTTCTATCAAAAACGCTTACGTAAACTAAAACATTTGTAGTCGTTACAATAATCGTTTCAACTCGTCTTCGAGTAGACAGAACACACGATTTGTCTGGCCTCCGTCGACGTTGTACCCGATATCGATCGGTTCCCTTAAATATTTCATAGTTAGATAATTAATCGCTTAATAAATAAATAAACCAAGCAGGTTTTATGAACRCTGGATAGTTTGGATTTTATTTCCTGGATAAGGATTGATCTGGTGGATCTTGCAATTAACCCTTTGTACAACCGACCCTTTCTGTCCTGCTGTACCCTCCCCTACCCCCTACATCCTCCCCCTATCGACAACGCTGATTTTTATCATTTGTTCCTGCTAGAGTAATCGCACTTAAACCGTGCAACTGTACCATAAATATATCACAAGTGGTTTTGCATTGAAGCGAGACGACCGTTGAGCGTGCAATGATTAGAAACCTTCTTTCAYACCTACAGACAATTATTCACAGGTATCTATCATTTGCACGCTCAATGGTTGTCTCGCTTTGATTTTAAGGCACGGCTACCTTTAATACAATTATTTGGACGATACCAATTTATCTAGGTGGTACAAAGCACCAATTTAAATCCTGTTTTTAATTTTTTTTAATTTTTAATTATTTTTTGTACTTCAAAGTATTTTATTTTTCAAGTGTGTCTTACATGTCGATAGGGACATCTATAGAACGAACACTGAATCTGACTAGAATTAGAAATTGCCTCGCTGATCCCTGTACTCAGCAGCTTGGGCAGCATATCATAGGGTCTTGGAAAGGACTCCTTTTTGACCCAGCGTGCGTTCTGATTGGCTTGTGGCARCCAGCACACGTGTAACGGATAACCGCTGACACCAATATTTTTAACATTGATGGCGCGGCATGCACTCTCAATCGTTTCAAACGTAACCCAAGCACTGCTTGGCGTTTGTAGCCGTGCCTTGCGTATTTCTCCAAAATGGCTGAAGATTTCAATGATGTCGTCCAAGGTATACGTCTTTAARTCTTCGTTAGCCCGCCAGCGCACGTAGACAGTGGTCAGCGGTTGTCTTTGTTCATAATTCGACATGGTCTTGTAATTTCGAACTGACCGCACTAGATTGGCCTCCTTGTAAAAGCTCATTGGTTGAAGAACTGACTTCCAGGCTTGATTGACAGCGTTGAAGTAACGTTTCCGCGTATAAGTCTCTAATAAGGTAGGAATAATGTTTTGAACATTGAATAGAATGGCGTTATTAATACAAATGGCGTTGTTTTAATAAATGGTGGAAAACTAGCGGTAAACTAGAGTGAGAAGGCACAAAAGAAAAAAAAAAATGAAATTAGAGCATATTAGAGTAACGCACTTGTACCGTGAAATATGATCATAGAGTCATTTAATTCATTCGTCTGTGAAACAATTACTACTAGTCGGTGTTTAATAGTAACTATTAGGGTGTAGTAGACTACCAAAAGGCAAAATCAAAACCATGTTTGCCTAATTTGTTTGTCGCATGTCATAAGTTAAACTATTGGGAGCTAATAGGGGGTAATAGTATTTAA